GACAAGAGACAGGGGCGGGTGATTAAATTGTGGGAGTGGGTGATTAAACTATTTTGAGTCATGGACCCCTTTGAAGAGCCATTCTGGGAAAAGCTATTTTGAGGAAATATCCAGAAAAAACTGCATGTACACACACACACACACACACACACACACTGGTTCATATACCTCAGAGTTTGAATACTGTGGTAGGCTGACTAATGGCTCCCCCAAAGGTGTGCGTGTTCCAATCCCTGGAACTTGGGAATGTTACTTTATAATTTATGTGGCAAAAGAGACAATGCAGATGTGAAGTTAAGGATCTTGAGGTGGGGATATTACCCTGGTGGGACAGCTATGATCACGAGTCCTGAAAGGAGGGCCACAGGACTCAGTGTCAGAGAAGGCAAAGCAGCAACAGAAGAGAAGTGTGGACTGTGAGCGTGATGCCTGGGACATTACCCATTGCTGGCTGTGACGATGGAGGGGGTCATGAGCCAAATCAAGGAAACGGATTCTCCCCTGTACCCCCAGAAGGAACACAGCCCTGTGACAGCTTGACTTTGGCCCACTGAGACCGGTCTGACCTGTGTCAGAACAGGAAGAAATATCTACTGTTCTTACAGGACTCTGAGATAATTAATCTGCCTTGTGTTAAGCCACTACATTTGTGGTAATTTGTTAGCATGGCAATAGGAGATGAATACACATAGCAACACATTTCAGGAGTTTATGGACACACAAGCCTGTCACGAATGACCCCCTGTGGATGAAGACCTCTTCAAGGTAATTTCTAGGATAAGGATTCTATGATTCTGCATGCACTGATGCTCCGCCCTAGGCAAAACCATTGCTCCTGTAAATTAAATAAATATATCTATAATATTATAAAACAGACTGCATTCTAATATTTTAAGTTGGTTTAAAATGCAACCCAGGCATGTGCCCTTGACTGGAATCGAATCTGGGACCCTTCAGTCCAGCACTCTATGGACTGACCAAACTGGCTAGGGCTACTGTAAAATATTTTATAATGTGGACACATTCCATTGGAAATGTGAGAAAACAAATGCCAGAAGGGAGGGGGGGGGTGGTTAGTAATCTGGATCAACGAGGTGCTTTGTTGTATATACACTTCATAAATCAAGAGTAATCGGCTTTTTGTTGATTTTCACTTCGAGATCATTCGAATTTGAGAAAGCTGCCTACAAAATAAGCATCTTTACCCCAGTAATAATTTAATAGATCCCATGAGATCTGTATTTTGTTCCAAGTATTTCCTGGCAGACCTGGAACAGGAAAACTTTGTAGGCAATCAGGCAGTGCCTGCCGCCGGCCAGGGAGTTCTGCGTTCTGCCTCCTTCTCCTCATTTTCTGGGACCCGCCCCCGGGCGCCGGTTTCTTCCTTGCCCAGTGCTCTCCGACCCCCTTCCCCGAGCTTGGCGAGCCCGGGGGATTCCGACCAGGGACCAGGGGTGCCGATACCGTCTACAGCCCCAAACCCGCCGGGGTGGCAGCAGGTCCTGCG